TGTTTTTTGAAAGTTTTTTTCAAAAAACATTTTTTATAATGAGAAAAAGATAATAAAGGTATAAAATTGCTTCTGTGGACCTGGAGGGGACTGACATGCAGAACTAACAGCTGGTGTAGCTGGAGGCACGATTTGAAAAAGATTGGAAACTTAGAGGCTGGAAAAAACCCAGGACGATCTGATATCAAGGGGCCTCCCGAAAACACTGAAATAAGAAGAGGCGATGCTCTGCTGGAGATTTCCGTAGGCAAAGACCGAGGACACTACAGACTTAGCTTTCTGCTAACTCAAAGGCAACTTTAAGCAAAGAGAAGGCAGGCGCCTGGGACGTGGATAGAACATGGCCTGGGTGTTTGTGTTTTTTTTTTTTCCAGGACCTGGAAGGTGAGAGGGCTCACTTGGAAGGTGGAATTATCCAGAACAGTTCATGGCTCCAGGGATCATAACGGAAGTAGGTATAAACTAGAAGGGAGGAATAAGAGAAGTGAACAACTAGTGCCTGAAGCAAACTGTTTAGCACTTTAAACTTGTGCCAAGCTAAGTGCATAAAATGAGATTATGTACCTGTAACTTACAGATACTGCATATAGTTTATACCCTAAGATTTCTTCACATTATGGTAAAAATCAGCTGTGTTCTTGAAAATGATTGCCCCAGCAATAGTTACTTTGGAGTGGAGGTTGATACAGAATTAAAGCAAAAATTCTAAATCTCAAGGGCACACTCTTGGGAGAAGTGACCCCTCCCCCCCATCTTTGAGCCTTGGAAGTGGAAAGTTATTACTTGCGCAGTTACATTTATTGAGCAGTTAGTGTTTGGAAGGCTAAATGCATTGAATGGATTGACTCATTTATTCTTCAAAGGAGCCTTATGAGTTAGACACTGCTATTATGCCCAACTTTACAAGTAAGGGAATCGAGATCTAACTGGCAAAGGGCAATGTTAGGACTGTCTGACTTTGACGCCCAAATTCCTTCCATAACGCTAGCCTGCATTCGTTAGTCCTGAAAATACCCTAAAGCAAGTAACAATAGTTATAAAATACTACACTTAGTAATGTCTAGGGTGACGTTATAAAGAAACAGATATGTTTCTGTGGTGGTCATACTATGTTCATAGGAAATGTGAATTACTGTGATCTTTTTGAAGGACAATTTGGTAATATTTACAAGAAGAATTTTAATGTAAGTACCCCTTGTTTCAATTATTGAGCTACTGGAAATTCACCCTAAGGTTTAACTGGCAAAGAACATGTGCAAGATGTTCAGTGCAAAGAACTAGAATCAACCAGTGTCCTTTAGTAGAAAACTGGTTAACTAATTCATGGTTCAGCCATTTTAAAACATGACGTAGATCTATATGTTCTGAAGTGGAAAAATCACCAAGATATAGTAAGTGAAAAGGCAAGGTGCTGAATGGTGTGTATAGTAAGATTACTTTTGTAGTAATTTAAAAAACACATATAGAAGATGGATTGATAGATGTACTAGCAAATAAACATTTTTTCCCCGAAAGGAAACAAAAAAGCCTTTAACAATAAATACCTTTGGAAAGAGTAACTGAGTTACTGTATTTGTGCCATTTGGAGATACTTGGGCTTTAAAAGTTTTGTTTTCTTCTCCATGTTCACTGATTTTTTTTTTAGAAAAACACTTTATTAAATCTTTAAAATAAAACCCCAATAGCTAGCATTTATTGAAGGTTCATAATGAGTAAGGGACTGTGCTAAGCATTTTACATATAATTCATTATAGTCTGACATTAAATGATTAGCTCCATTTTCTAGGTGAGACGTTCAAGGCTCAGGTGAAATCACTTGCTTGAGGTCCCACAGCTAGGAAGTGGGGAAGCTGCCGTTTGAAATGCCTGTCCCCCTCAATTCAGGGCCCTTGGCTCTCAACTACCAGGCTGTGCTCTTCTAACTGGTCTTTATATTCTCATTGCCTAATAAGAGTAAACTGGCAAACAACTGGAGTCTAATGAGGTAATGTATGTGAAAATACTTTTCTAAGTATAGAGATGTTTGGGGAGGACAGGCTGAGCAGCAGGAGGGAATTTAAATTGGGAGACCTGTCCACTGACCCCTAGACAATCAGGATATTGGTGTTTTCCTTTTTCCCTGAAGAGGGGAGGATCACCGAATTTTTTTCTCCTTTAAAATATTATAAAATTATATTTATTCCCTTTTTCCTCAATAATACCTGATCACTGTTTTAAAATTAAAATGATATGGAGAAATGAAAGTCCTTTCATAATACCCCTCACTGATAATTAATGACTGTGTTTTGGATTATAATGGCTATATAACTATATATTGCACACACTCCCACATATTTTACATAAATGGGAGCAACTATATATTTGTTCAGTATATTGCTTTTTATTATCCGTACAATGTATCTTGGCCATCTTTTCATATCAGCACTTAAAAATCTACTTTTCTCTTTTTAATAGCTGCACGGTATCTTACTTTGTGAATGTGTGTGTGTGTGTACACATTATTTTTTAAAGCATCTATTGAAGGACGTTTAAGTTACTTCCAATTGTTTACTCTCCTAGACGCTGCTGTAATGAACACCCTTCCTAAGAAAGTTTAGAAGGATCTTCAGACTGTGTGATATTTGTCTACCCTGTAGTCGATGAGAGTGACCCAATCAGACTCTGTACCGAGGGTAGGAGTATGTTTCCCTGCGGGGAGAAACGAAGAATTCTCTCCAAAATACTCTGGCCAACACATTCGTATTAGAGTTGCCAACAGGTGGGACCACCTCAACAAGAAGGGCACCCTGTCTTGCCAGTTTAGTAACAGCAGAGACTTGCTACAATTGCTCAGCACTGATTGCTGGATCAGAAGAGGAATTTCCAGACTCAGTTACAAGCAGGGCTGGTGCAGGGCTGTGGATTCCCCCAGACAGTCTGGAGACAGCTAGCCAGGGAGGTGGGCAGCGGAGCTCCAAATCAGGCGACAGCACGTGTGGAAGGAGCAGTGACCTACAAGGAGACTCATAATTCATAGACCAAACCTCTTCCAGCAGAGGGCAGTGCCTCAGATTATCAGGTGGGACTCAGGCCAGCTGGAGCCAGAGCCGGGGACTTCGCGGGACAGATGACACCAACCCTAGGCTGAGGAGAAATTGAGCTAAACTCTCCTTTGGATACTGTAAGTGACATTGGGGAGTACTCAGGGAGAGACACAGTGGGACTTCACACTACTGTAATTTGCCTGTTGTCTAATGTCTAACAATTTGGGTTTGGTAATAAATCCCTATTTATACAGTTCAGCCATTAGGGCTTACAAGTGAGGGGATTTGGGGTCAATTTAACTCAACTGGCCACTGACTCAGGTTTCTGGGTGCATGCCTGAATCAAAAAGGGAGTGATATGCCTAAAACATAACCTAGGCTTCTGGGACCCTGGGGCTCTGTGGATCTGACACAAAGTTTACAAATAGAAAGTCGGCAGAGGGAAAGATATGTAAGAAGTACCAATTTTATCTAAAAATAGAAACTTAGTGTGTTTAACCGAGTCCTTTGCTTCTGAATTCAAAGACTATGAAGGATGGCCGTTAAAACAAACTTTAACTTGGAAGAGCCAGCCATGCAAATTGCTGTGCCTGCAGATAATGAAAAGATTAAAAGAAGTTAGTCTGCTGGCCTAAACAATTTCCAATCAAGGCTTCCCTGCTGCGTAGCGGTTGGAATAAAAAATGGGGCAAAGCTGAGTTACAGTACCATAAAGTCTACTTCTAATCCTGTTGTTTTTCGACCCTGGTGATAAGAAAAAAAGGAATGACTTTGGCATTTGCTGATGGAGACAAGGCAGATTTGCCAGATGATAAAAGTACCGTGTGTGTGCTTAATTATTTTGTCAGACACGGCTAAATAAAACACACCACAGAGGAAATCAGAACCATTAGCGAAGTCGAAGGCTAGTTTGCACGCGTTTCTTCGAAAAATGTCAAGTGGAAGAAATACCAGCAAAGAGAATCAACTTTCTTGGCTGTTTTATTTTCCCTTCTGCCTCTAGTCCGGGGATGTTTGGCGTTTTCCGGGTCGTTAGATCCGCCCAGAGTGAATCGAGTCCTCAGGCCGGGCTGGGGGCAGCTGAGACGCGGAGAGGCTTCCGCGAGGTCGGGGGGTGGGACTGTCTGCAGCATCAGCAGCAGGAACAGCAGTTGCGGGCAGCCGGGCGGAAAAGGGGAGGATGCCGGAGGTTCTAGGAGCGGCCCTTTGCCAAGGCCGTAGCCCCAACCCGAAACCGTCCCCTGGCCGTCTCGCCCAGGAAGGCGCGGCCCCAGAGCCACCAGGCTCGCCCCGGAGAGGTGGGACTTTCCCCACCGGAAGTGATCCCGTCCAGTCTCGGGGAACTGGGGCACCTCAACCAGTGTGTCAGGGAAACCCTTCCGGGTGTGTGCGGTGTGGGGGGGGGGGGGGGGGGAGGAAAAAAAGAGGTGGGTTCGCCTGGAGTCCCAGCGGCCGCCGCCGCCGGACGG